TAGGAAACAGAAAACTTAAACTTATGTTGGGCTGAGATAAGTTCAGGAGGCAGATGTCATTACATCTGCTTTGATATCATACGAAGCAGTTTTGCTCCAAATGTTAAGACATTTAGCAAAACAATATTAAGTCATTGTTTTACCAAAATTGCTGTCAATAAACACTTACATCCTCTAGCAGTCGAATTGTTGTAGCCACCTCTACCTTTGTCGAACCACTTTTCTTTGCCTTTACTTTCTTTTGTTGAATGTGCCTGCAAAGCCATATCACTCTTCGACTTGCCTGCAGTTGTCTCAGTAATTCTTTGTTCATGAGATTTGAGTGTCCCTTGAAGTTCTTCCTTTGTTAATTTCGAAAAATATTTCCCCTCTTCTATAACCACCACCACGTGGTCGATCTTAGGGGCCAAAGATCTCAAGATCTTTGCAACAACTTCTCTGGTTGTTAACATTTCTCCACATACCTTGATTTGATTCACTAGTTTCGTAACCCTAGTGAAGAAATCAGATATGTTATCGCTATCCTCCAACTGAAGAAATTCATATGTTTTTTTGTGAGTTTGTAACCTCACCTCTTTCACCTTTTATACAACTCCAAAAGATTTCTCAAGAATATCTCAGGCTTCTTTTGCAGATTCTACATCACTAACCATTTTAAAATTTTCGGGCCTAACACATTGGTGAATTATAAAGAGAACTTTATAATTTTTCTTCTCCAAATCTTTGTGTTTAGTATCTTCATCATCTGAAGGATCTTCATCAAGCGGTTCTAACCCATATTTTACAAGATCCCAAAGACCTTGGTAATAGAATATAACCCTTATCTGTTTGCACTAATTCTCATAGTTATCAACTTTCAGAATTTGAAGACTTGCTGGAAAATTCTCATTCGCATAATTCACCACCATTGTAATTTTCTTCTTCTTCCCTTGATCACTCAACCGAAGCTCTGATACCAGACGTTGGAAATCCACCAAAACTTATGGAGAATTTCTATCAATCTTGATGAAAAAGATTGTTATCACTACACAATAACGATGAAAAGAAATGAAAATTAAAGAATAAAAGAGATTAAGGTTTGTGTAGAGTTTTTCTCTGCCCATAAACTGTGAAAAAATTTTATTCACTTTCAACTGAAAATTTTTGGATACAAGTTATTTTAAAATAGGGGTTACTCCTTCTATTTATAATGAGGTTTCTTTCTCCCTAAGGCAAGAAAAAAAAACTTAAAACTATAAAAGCCCAAAATACCTATTTTATATCTAAGTCGAAATCATGTGTGAAGTAACCTGCTTCAACACTTCAACATACACAACTCGACAAATAATTTGACACACACACTTAGGTTATTTCAACACACCTTGTATAGAGGTTATTTAACATAGATCAAGTTAACTTTTTTATTTTATTTCGCTGAGGGTAACCATATATCCATGTGATTTAAATAGTGTTTCTAATCTGACGAGAATCAAAATAACAATCAACATATTATTGATATCAGTAATATATAAATTAATAACCTTTCTACATAGCAGAAATAAAACCCCATCCAGCTATGTCTCCACCATCAGTGGAGAAGTGACAAACAAACAACAATTTCCATATAGACATGGAAATGATAGTAAATGTTATTAAATTGTAGTTAATTCAACTTAACAAGAATAAAAATAATTAATGGGAACAAAGACACTTTTACTTTTTGTAATAATATCAATGAAAATATCTTTCTCTATATGGGAAAACTTTAGACTCCAGTTACTATTGAGAAAATATTTTCCGTATTCGGTAAACACTGGTTAAAATTAATTGGATAATTATTACTACATGAAGCTGAATTGGAAACAAACACCGTCACTATTTGACAACACTTTGTACTAAATTGTGTATTGCAAAGCAAAGAGCTTTTGTTCAAATTCTGCTACTCTAAACCATTACACCAGCGCTTTTTCTATTTCTCATCAATTGGAACACAAACGAAAACCATACATGACAATAATACAAAATGCAATAATAATGAAACATACAGAGAAACTGAATCCAAACTTCAAAAACAATAATATATTCATTTAGGTAAATATTATTGTCAACACATCAAATCATAAAGATATAAACTTTGATGTTTTAGAAATAATGAAAAACCCAAAAATTTAAATATTAACAAACGAATATCGGCTGTTATCAAGCCCTACGAAGAACCAAAAAATCAAATTTCTTCTCGTCTTGATCCCATTTAAGGCCAATCTCATATCCGATCTTTATGTTCCTCTTTTTTTACAAAATCCTTGATCCATATATCAATGAAAACATGACTTTCGTTCGACAGTCGTATCTTGAACACAAGAGAACGAAGAGTTTAAGTGTCAACATCAAACACCAGAACTTTGACTCCATCTTTTTCAGCTTCAGCTTTGTCCACAAAAGGAACCACCCATTTCTTAGCCAATTCTTTCTTCAACAAAAGCCTTCTATTATTGCCAAGATCACTTGCTGTGAGCACCTTCTTGATCTTCCATTGATCATCACGGCTGGTTGATGAATCAAAACTTATTCCTGGAGAAATATGAAGAGAATGAGAGTGGACTATGAACTTTCTTTTCTTTATATATTTTGTCCAACTAACTTTCAATATGATATAAAATGTGATTTATATAGGATCACAATATAGAATATGAAGAGTTTACAGCAATAACTATGTCTAGGTCCCTAAGGAATAAATTTTCCACTATCCAAGGGAATCTAGCTTTTGATTTACCCTAGACTGATTTGAATTTAACCAACAAAACTCCTCCATAAATTCAAATATTCATTTTATTCATCATGCCTAACATTTTCTTGCCTCTGTCGAAAAGCTCTTTTGACAGTGGTTTTGTGAGAATGTATGTTGCTTGATCTTTTCTTGCAATGTGCTTCATTTTGATGCTTCCATCCTTCACGTGTTCTCGAATGAAATGAAATCGAACATCAATGTGCTTGCTTCGTTCATGGTTGACTGGATTCTTCACCAGTTCAATTGCAGATATGTTATCAACTCGAATCATTGTTGCAGCTTCCTGCTTCAATTCCATGTTGCTCAGCAGTCTTCTCAGCCATATTGCATGGCATACGCACCAGGATGCTGCTACATACTCTGCTTCACAGATCGAAAGAGTTACAATGGGTTGCTTCCTTGACAGCCAGGTGAAAGCAGTGTTTCCCATGAAGAATACATATCCTGAAGTGCTCTTTCGATCATCAAAAAATCCATACTTGGATCGAATCTAGTCTTGGATTCGACAGCCTGTGGTTGCATCATCCTAGTTTGAATCCCCTGGGTATGAATAGAAAGCTACTTCGTCTTGCAACATCTTGTATCCTGCGATTCGAAAGGAAATATAGATTGTGCCTTAGCAATGGCAAGATTTCATCCCCGCGCTTAACCTTGTATGTAACACATGAAAGCAATCATAAACATTAGCAATAACATGAATGTATGATTAACATGAATTTAAAAAAAACTGCATATTTAGCTAGTTTGAGATCGAAAGCAAATTACCAACGGAGAGATTGTATTAGTGATGCTCCAGTGTACGTTGGACCTGCCTAGTGCTTCGGAGCGTCTTCTTGTAACCTTCAGGGAGTAAGTGAAGCGCTTGTTGAAGAGGCCGACGAAGGTTGCTTCGATTTTGGACCACTTTGTGAAGATTTTGAGATTTTTGGTGTGACTTTCTGAGGCAGTGTGTTTCTTATCTCTTTTTCGTCTCTCTTTCCTTCATCCCCTTAGCAATGTGCTCTTAGCCTTTTATTTGTAGGGGTGTGATGAGAGCAAGTATGGCATGAAACAAAGACTTTCAAGGCCATGAGACAGAAATCCAACATATTAAAAGTTGGCCATATTTGGATAATTCTTGCCATTTTGAAATTATGAGTGAACCTGGACATGTTTCGCCCACTGACTCTTTTGAATGCTCCCACTCCTGGTTCTTCGATTGGCTATGAACTGCTCCTTTCGATGGCTCTGAAAATACCCAACTAGCCTGTCATACCCCAATTTTTGACCTAAGATCCCATCTTCATTTGAATTGTTTTATATATACATCAAGGCCACGAAATATGGTCGGTTTTGAATGTCTCACCTTCGAGCTTTGACCGTGCATATATTATCGAGTGTTGTGAGCATTTTATCTTATGAATGACTAACCACTGATCAAGCACGAAGTGTATGTTTCGTTTTTTTTTATTTCATGTGCAGCAAGCAGGTCTGAAAGAAGAGCATCATACACCACGCCTCAATTAGGGTTTGGAGTCTCATGACAGAAATGCAGTCGATTGTTGATTCTCAAAGACTGGTTCATCAAAAGAACTTTCAGAGAATCGTGTATTTATTTATGTGCTCTGTCCAACAGATGACCTCAAGTGTCTCTGAAATTATTCAGAAAGAACAGTCAATGTTTTATTGTCGTTGGTTCATGTGTGTTTCACATTTCCTTGAAATACAAGAAAAATCAAGATATGCAAATCAATTCTGACCACTTCGACCAAAAGTCATCTGCAAGTTTTCTCATGACGCGGGGTGAATTTCTTTAAAATGGAATGATTAAATTCAAGACCGTTCTAGAAGAATTTATTCGGAATACTTGGAAATTTCTCTATTTGAATTCAAGTGTTAATTAAATAGAAGCTACCAAGAGATCTCCTTCAAGAATAATCGTTCATCGCATTAAATATTTATTCAAGATTATTTTGTGTGATTATTTTGGTGGATTTACTTTACGATTATTTGAATTCATATGAAGCATTTATTCAAAAAGATATCGGGAAAAATAAATTTGATTCAAACTTGTAATTCATCACAAGAATAAATACATGATGGGCACAAGATCAACTCATGTAGTTTATTTGGATCTCTAATACAAATTGAAAGATTCAAGTCTTAAGGCTTGCATTTTTATTTATTCATCATTTCATCCAAGTATTATTCAATTCTTTTCCAATTCAAATGGAATATTTTGAATTTCATCAAGATGAACATAAGGTTCAAAGTTTATAAAGATCCAAATATTTACAATTACAAAAGAATTGAAGGAATTATATTGTAGAACAAATTCCATTTGTGTTACAAATTTATTTGAGTTATTATTACAAAGTTACAAAGAAGTTACAAGTTTGTACAAAATATATTCCAACATTAAAAAATTCAGCCCAACAAAGTTGCTAATGCAGTCCATTATGCAACCCATTTTCCAGCCCAATTTTGTTGTATTTTGCTACTCGGAAAGGCAGCAAACTAGCCCAGAAATGCAGCATAGCAGTCCAAAGAAAAGATGCTGTAAAATGCTACAAATAGTCTAAAAATAATAGCAACATACAACAGCCCCAAATGCTGCCAAAATCTGGTGTAAACTGTTATACAGTCTGCTCCAACCTGCATTACAACAGCCACAGAATTGCATCAAAATGGTTAAAGGAAATTGTGTGAACAAAGCATGAAAAAAGGTTGCCAAAATAGTTCAAAACTCCACTGTTTCCCCCCCTAAATTCTTTGTTATTCCCTATATAAAGCCCTCTTGATGGACAAAAAGGAGACACACAAAAAATTGAGAAAAAAAATCAAAAACACGCATAGAAAAAGATTCAAGGAGAGGAACAACAATACACAAAACTGAGGAATAAAAAATTAGGAAAGCACACATAAATTCAACAAGAAGAACATAGAAAATCAGAGGAGAGAAACTTACTGTTTTTTCCTAGAAGCCCCATCTGAGAGGCTCTGATAGGTATTTTTTCCTCCTCTCAATTTATTTCTTCATAACTCTCTCATAAATCCATGTTTGAATCTTCTTCTGCACTACTTTCATGCCATGTCAATGCTTGCTTTATCATATTTCCCTTTGCTGTATTTTTTTATCTGCTGCAATGGGTGGACATCTAAGCATGTTTAATAATAATAATAATAATAAGTAGAAGATAAAAAATATAAAAACAATTAACGTAAATTTTTAATACCTCACCACTTACCCTTTTGTTGAAGTCGTTAACCCGAATCTTGTTGTTACTAATCTCTCTATAGGTGATAATGCTGTTTTTTTATCTTCTGCAAGTGTCCTGAAAAAACAGAAAAGAGTTTAAATTTCATGTTGTTTTTAAACCTTTTGATAATATCCCATCTACTGCTTTAATGTTTGGAGCTATTGACTTTGTTTCAAACTTCTACTACAAAAAAAGACAACCATAGTCATAAGTTGCCAGCTCAATTGAATAACAGATAGAAGAAATCAGCGTATAAGTAAATGAAATCATTAAACACAGTTTTAAATATTTTGTAACATGTTGTTAATTTTTGTCCATCGTCACATGCAGTATTGCCAATAGTGCTTATCTACCATCCTTTTTTGTTAATCCACCATACATATCTGCCGTGCAACTGTACTGCCACCGAGTTCGGTTTTCTAAACACCACATTCAACCTCTCTCTGTCACTGTTCCTGAACCATCACCTTCATCTCTTCGCCTTTGTTTCGATTTCCACCGTGTTGTTTATGCTCAACTCAAACAGTCCCATTCTTTTCGTTCCACCAATCTTGTAAATTAAAAACAATGTAAGAGGAATGATTAAATCGAGGCTAGTGATCAATCAAGTGAACGCACAATTTCGTATCAGCATTTATAAACAAAATCACTCACCTAAGCCATTTTAAACAGCTTTAATCACACTATCAAAACATGTTAACCTATTAACAAACCGTAAAACGCATAATCCGTTAAAACCAACGAATCAGAGTATTAATTATTTTTCTCTAAGATGCCCGACCTGTAAACCAAATTCTAAACCTACAGCCAGAACCTATCAACCACACAAAACAAATTCAGAACAAAAACTCATACGCTATTTCATATAGAAATACAGATAAAAACTCAGAGAAAAGACACAAAGAAAGAAACTTCTGGAAACCATCACCACCTTCTGGAAACCACAACAACCCAATGTGCTTTTCCAACAGAACTTCTCTCTGTTCAACCGTTCTTCTCACCAACCTTACTCCAAGCAGCAATAACAGAACTGCATCTCCCTACATATACATCTCTTTACAAAATATACAACACAAACTCTAAACATGACAACATTTAATCCACAGAATGACTCAACTTGATCATTACCTCAGTCAGCAACACAGCCTTATGTTTCTCTTCTAGATTGTCTCAACAAAGCATGTTCCTTCATTATTCCTAGAAGACACTCATAATTTCCATTAAACAACCATAACTCAGCACTGGAAAAAAAGAGGGAAATAAAGTGAAGCAAACCAATCTCACCAAATCAATGACACCAACATCATTACCTCTCATTTGAATTTCAAGGTCAGCGCCACTGCCACCAACCTCCTAGAGCCACGGAGAAGCTCTGCAACTCAAGAGTTTTGGTACTCGGCCGAACAGGTCGTGTCAGAGGATCAACCGCTCTCTCCAACCTCTTCCCGATCTTCAAATCCTCTTCGCCAGCCGAAACAGAGGGAAAGGTGAAGCTCTTGTTGCGAAACTCAGCGGCAATTCAGGTTTCGCACACGTTGATAGTGATGACCCCGATTCACTGGAAACTGCTTTGAAAGGCGTGGATCTTGTAGTTCATTATGTCGGTCCTTTTCAAAAGACAAAAAATGTAGTGTGCTTGAAGCTACCACTAATACCAAGACGAAATATATTGATATTTGTGTTGATACAACAACATTACGGTGCATGAAAGTAGAAGAAGTAGGATGAATTAGAGAGTAATTGTTAGTGGTGGCGGCGGATTGTGAGAGTAGAAGTTGAACATCAACAGAGGAATGAATTAGAAAGATACACATACTGGATAATAGGTTTTTAGTGGGAATCAACAATAATAATTTAATCTGCAATTTGGCTTCCCCATGACCAAGATATCGCGGCGCTGTTTCGCTTAGTAGTTTAGGGTTATAAAAATTTCCTTATTTCTTTCTTAAAGTCGGGTCAGCCCATTGGGCTGCTGGCCCAATTTCCTCTTATTGTTTTCCCTTATCTTCTAATTATATCATGGTAATATAACGAATAGCAATCTAGTACAGTTCGCAAAGCATATCAGTTATAACCTTAAATACCTGAGCTCGACCCCTGCTGGGGCATTTTTTTGTTCTTTTACTCTTTTAAGCTTTTTTCTTTCAACTCCATTAGATTTGATTATATATTAATTTAGTTTATTATAATTATTATAAAATACAGAAATACATGTTTTTATTTTTTCCTGTTTATTTAATTATTCAAATACATTCTTTTATTTCATTTTTGCTGTTTATTTATGCTTTATTTAATTTTGTTGTTCATTTAATTATTCAAACACATGCTTTTATCTAATTTTTGTTGTTTATTTAATTATTCAAACACATGCTTTTATTTAATTTATGTTGTTTATTTAATTATTCAAATATATACTTTTATTTAATTTTTTATGTTTATTTAATTATTCAAAAATGCATGCTAGTATAAATTAGTCTTCTATTCTATCTTTGGTTATTTAATTTTTCAATTGTCGTTTTAATTAACTTTATTCTCGACCGTTTAATCTTTGTATCTGTTCGTCCCAAATACAAGGGAAATGTTTTGTTGGCTTCATAAGTAATACGATCGTGCGAATACCCTCATTCATTTTTGTTTTTCTAAACTTAAGATAATTTTCCTAAAAAAACTCAATTTTCAAACTCATACCTTTTAAGTCAAAACTTTGACACTAGGTCGTCGTATCTCCAAAATATCATCCAAACAAATCATTTTTAGCCAAACCAACCATTTTTACCAAACGAACCATTTTAATCAAACAAACAATTTAAAAAAAAAAACAGATATTTCAAAAGGTTCCTGCGGAGTACGCAGATGCATTGGGTGCTAATACCTTCCAATCGCATAACCAACCCCCGAACTCTAGATCTCTTTCAAAAACGCATTATATTTTCATTACTTTTAAGTATTATTTTACATTGCATATTTTAGGGTTTTATTTCGCTCTTTTCCCTTTACCCTTGGAAATAATAAAGCGTGGTGTCTACTCTTGCTTTTACGAGTCGAGTTAATTAATAACTCGGTCTCCGATTTACCCCATTACATTTTTTATCGCTACAAAATTGGCGACTCTGCTGGGGAAAGATTAACCTCTTGATGGTCCATCCATAAGTGGGTTAAGCCTAGTTTGTCTTATCTTTTTTATTATTATTTGATTATATGTATATATTGTGGTTATTTGGGTATTAATGATATTTACAAAGGACGGGTCCTATATTCGGACTAAGTTACACTTAAGAATAGGACAGGCGGTATAGTCATGTTAACTTTGAGGGAGTAATCCTGAAGAAGGAGACATGAAATCCCCCACTCGGTGGAAGCCCCTTTGAATATAGTATTTGTTTACCGATTAATCGGGAAGAAATTATTGATTTCGACCTGGGAGGTAGAGAATATGAGAACCGTAGAACCCTTAACCCATCTTGGCCTTTTAGGTGTAGCGCGGAGACCATAATGGTGTAATCCGGAAGTAGTTGTCACGCGATGCTACACTCAGACGAGTTTCTCTTGAGAATATTATTAATTATCGAGTAATCGAGACGTTGGTAATATCTGAAGGATGATCGTAGACTATGGGAACCTTTAGAACCTTGTTTTATAGGTGTGATTAAACCTTTAGTACATACCTTGGGGTGGGCTTTACCTTTAACTCCATGCTCGAAGCGTTGAAACTTTGAACCCCATGTTTGTGAACTGATGCGTAATTGTTGCATTGTCATTCATTCATGCATTCATAAGCATTATTTTAAACATGTTTTTCAAGGAACTTAAGAATGATTTTTACAGACATCTCAGGTACTTTTTACCATGGATTTTGGAAAGAAAAAACACTCGGATACTTATGTCATTTTGTAAAACTCTCTAAGGGCTTTATGTTCCAAATTTGTAATTTACTGCTTTTTATTAATGAAATGAGTTTTGTTGTTCCAAATTCCTTTACCATTGATGTGTGCAAAGTTATCAAAGTTCTAAATTTCCTTAAAAAAACTATCAAAATAAATAATAATTTGTATCGCATATCATGCATCATCCGACATTAAATTTTACATGTTTTCTAGAGTCTTATTCTTGCTTCTTTTTCCACTCTGATAGAATCCTCAAGTTGTTTCACCAGTATAATACTCGAGCCAATCATCGAAAGAGAATGGAAGATCTAGAGCAAGAAAATCACGAGCTTCGCAAGGAGGTTACTACTCTTCGTATTGGAATGAAAAGTTGACTGCTTTAGTGGAAAGCTTGATGGTTGCTCAGAATCAGCCATCCACTTCGGCCACTGAGACTCAAGCTCAAACTACTGTGGTTTCCGAGATCGTCACTCCCCCAACATATTTGGCTCAAGTCAACTCTCTGCAACATCAAATTCCAAAAGGCTTTCCATGGGGTATGCCTTACAATTTCATGCCAGAAGGGTACCAGCCTGCTATGCAACCCATGATTCAACCTATTGTGTCCTTTCCTCAACCTGAGAGCACTATTGTGCAACCTATGATCCAGCCTATGGTATTTTTCCCTCAGCCTGTAATGAATATTGCTGCTCCCGTGGTTCACATTATTCCATATACAAATGAACCCATTTATCATGCTAAACCTACTGAAAATATGGGCATCTTCGTTGCTGGAGTTCATGTCCAATTCCCCAAGTGATTCAGATGGAGATCTGCCCCTAGCTATTTGGCATTTTAGAGAGATTCCCCGAATCTTGACTTGATTTCACCAGATCAACTGGACACTATGTTATGCCCCTTGATTATGAAAGGCCTGTTACTGGAATGTCTTTCCATCTGAGGTGATTCTGTCCACTGAGAGGATTTCTGTTCATCGAATATCCGTCGTGTGAATTTCTCTGCTGTTAAATAAATAGTCATATGCAAACAACGGTATTTTAAAAAATGCAAAGCTTATTTCTTTCTTGAAGTTGAAAAATTCATTTTTTTAGTAAAACAAACAAATTTTGTAAGAGTGTGATATCAACTCAAGATTTATAGCAAACCTTATAAGAGTCAGGATACCTTTTGTAACAGTATGCTTTCGAACCAACCCATGCTTAAGCTAGGACTTTTAAGGGTTGTAATGTGGCCTGGTTCATGGTTTAAGAAACAAAGGATAAAGGCTCAAACTTTATTTGTACCCAACCCATTCTTCGTGATGTTCTTCAGTCCTACACTCAATTAACTGTGCGTTTAGATCCCAATTGAATCTGGAATCTTGGCCCTGATGTTTCGGTGATGATTCAGAAATTGAAAGTTTATTTGTGGAAAGTAGTCATTTTTATAACCTTTTCTTTTTTGTTGAGGATTTGCAGCGTCCTATTTTTATTTATTTTATTATCCCTACTTTTTCCTGAACTTTTTCTTTTGTGATTACAGTCAGCGAGATGCCCCAAGTTTTTTTTCTTAAGTCTCCCTCATAGGCTTTGACTTAGCGGGCTTTTCGTTTGAGAGATAATGACTGCTTGTTTTAATGAGTATGCGGAACTATCACCATATTTTGTTTTGGAAAGGCGTCTTCAGCACCACTCGTCGCGTATGAAGAGAAAGCTTGCGATCGAATGTGCCTTTGAATAATTGAGAAAACTACCCAGCCCCAGGTTATGATTAAGGGTTTTAATTTGTGAGAAAATTAAAACCCGTACTTCTTAGGCTCAAAGGGGTTGACTAGGGATTATCTTCCTTATAAATCCATTGTTTAGTATTTGAAAGAACGTATGTACATTGTGATACGATGGGAGAACTGACTTAAGGGTTTTGCGTTTGATCGCAAATGTTGTGGTTAGCACGCCACCGACTTTTCTTTTATCCAAAAGGAAAGGTGAAAAAGCACAGGAAAGACCTTTGAGATTATTTCTTGAGTTCGAGGGGTAGATTATGAAAAAGGAAGGTATTAGAACCCTTTTCATCCATGGTTTTCCATGGGCTCTTAGTTACTTGCTAGATCACTTGCTTTTGTTTGAAATTATGCTTTGTGTGGTTTTTTGAAAGTATTTTGTAAAGAGGCCATTATTTAGGAAAACTTTGTAATGATTCTTGTTCGTAAGAATCTATACAAAGTATTGATATTTTGAAAATGTTTTCAAGTTTTGTAAGATGTTTTGAAAGTGTAAGTGTTTGTTTTTGAAAATAGAAAGGATGTTTTGTTTTTTAAATTGAGCAAGTAATTAGGAGCATTCTACCTACTCAAAAGTCTTTCATGTTCATCTCCTCTTTTCTTTGACATTGTTATCTTACCATTGATTTGATAAATAACCCTATCTTTGGATGTAAATGGGACAGGTGTGGGTCATCATATAACCATTATTAGCAATGTTGCAAGGTATCTTATCATTCTCTTTAGGGACTAAGATCATTTGAAAGGCAACATAGATAGCGTCATCGAGGGACTATAATCTTATATTTTGCTTGTTTTTGCTAAGACACCTCACATGCGTAATATGGCCATTTAGTAAGGCAACCAAGTGGATTCACCCTAAGGGTGCTTGTGTGCAAGTGTATTGTTTTTCATGCTTGGTTTTGTCTTTGATTAGGTTTTTCTAATTGATTGGTTTTAGTCTTTCCATTCAAACCCTAATTACTAGTATTTGTATATAAAGCGATAAATTGCGGAATTTAAAATTACTACGCTATTACAATACTTGTGGGAGGGGTGTACAAATTATGAATGAGGATTGCAAGA